GATTTAGAGAATTGCTCAAGGGGTGCCACCTCAGGTGCCATCTTGCCAAGGGTGCCAAATTGGCTAGAACTGGCCCTGGTCTAACTAACTATTACAGCTCATTAATCTGGTCAAGATTAAGGTACATTTCTCCAAACTAAGGTTGTTCAAAGAGCTATTTAAAACAAATAAGACATTAGTTGCTCAAAAGATGTGAACCATCCCTTTAAAACATCCTCATCAGGCTTTGAATTTAATTATCTTTCTTCCACACTAAGATTTACTTGAAAGTACTGGTGACTGAAATGAAATGACAGCTTTTTCTGATGAATATAATAATAATACAAGCAGTGGTGTGCTGTTACCATGAATATTGAAGAGAAACACGAGGGGATTGTGAGTCTGGTATCTTATCTGCAGTCCTAAATGTACTTACCCCCACACAAACATTAACGCCCCACAAAGCACACAAACACACATTTACCCATCAGCATCCTCTGTTTGAAGCAGAGATGGAGGAAGACCTCACATCACAGGCGTCAGTTTGTTATTCTGTTCCACATAAAAAAAAGCATCTCTGGACACGAGGGAGTTTCTTAATGTTTGCTGATAGAACATGGAGATCTGGTTCTGATGCTGCCTCATTTGTCTGCACGAGCCAAAGTAAGGGACCAGTCGTGCTGTGAAGACTGCTGACCAAGAGGAGCCCGTGTTCACAGGGGTGCCTGTGTGTTTAGACAGCCATGATGGATGATCCTCCCACAGGAGAGATAGTCCACAGGAGATAAAAGAAGAGGAAAAGACAGCCAGAGGGATGGACGGTCAAAGTGACCCTGAGCTCAGAGGACTTACGCCTAGTCTGACTATTTAGGGGAAAAGACTGGGACTAAATTATAATATATGATGCTTTTAAAATTTAAAAACCATCTAAAAAAAAAGATCAGGAAAAAGTTCACATGAAGGTTTGATAAAACAGGTTTTAATTTTGCAGCTGCTTTTTTTAATCATTATTTTGCAACAAAAATTGCCCCATGAGGATTTCTAAGTCTCATTGGCAGGCCGGATAAAAGTCATCCATGAGCTGGATGTGGCCCATAGGCCGCCAATAGAACAGTCCTGATTTAGATTTTTACTTTTATTGATATTTTTACCTAATTACAAAATATATATACAGTATTTCCATCCATCTGGTTCTATGACATTTATCCCCCGGACCCTTACAATGAGGGGTGCGTGTTCTAGGGGTAAGTGTCAGGACCCATCTATTCGTCTATCCACCCATCCATCCATCTTCTGTCACTTATCTGCTTAAAAACATTATATATTTATTTAAAAAGTATACATGTAAAAAAAATGTTTGACACAAAAAAACAAGATTTGACTTGCTGTCAAATTCCTAGTTTTAAGCCCATTGGTGAATCTTTCCTGTCACTTCTCCTGTTATCCATGTAATATTTATTGTGGCCACCAGAGGGCAGAAAATGCAAAGTTTTTACAAACATTTGAGGCGATTAAACGTCGTGTGTCCCTGCAGGAGGCGCACAAACWGATGCAGTCATTTAAAACTGGAATAATATGTAAAGCATGGATAAAAGGTTTGATAATAGAAACCAAACAACTTTGTGTTTACATACAAGTTTATTTCCTGATACTGTCTAAAAGTGGGTGTAATTTGTGGACCACCTGTTGCTGAAATCAAAAGTTATTTATCAAGGTTGCCCTACAGCAGGGACTTTCCTCATATCAGGATGCCTGTAATTTACTGGTGTCAACACTGTTTTTATGGCAACTTTTGATTTCTAAGCTGCTCTAACATTAAGAAGCGAGTTTTAGGTCTACTGTGATGGCGCTAGTGTTGTTGTCAAGACCACCTAACCCGAGACCAAGTCAAGACCAAGACCACAGTGTCTCGAGACCGAGACAAGACCAAGAGTTTTAGGGTTTGGACCAAGTTGAGACAAAGACCAAGGGAGGGAGAGACCGAGACAAGACCAAGACCAGATTTTAAAAAAAGTGTCCTAAAAGATGGAGTATTCTGTACACATGTACAGTGGGGGGAAAGTATTTAGTCTCTCATAGTTGAGGTCTAACTATGATGTCAATCACAGGTCTCTCTCATCATTTTAGGTGGGAGAACTTGAACTATTGGTGGTGCTGACTAAATACTTTTTCTCCCCACTGTAGTTAACTAATATAATATTGCTAATATTGACAAAATCTTTGTTTGGGGCGGAGGAAAGAATTTTGCTACAGATGCAGATTATTAATGTTAGTGACGATAAAAGTTTAAAGTTGTCCCATCATCTCTGAAAGTGAAGCACTGCCGAATTTACAAGTTGCTGTATGCTTTCTCCTGGTCGTTGTTGTTGTTTTAGAAATATATTATATATGAATAATGTAGCCAAATTTTATACTTAAAATTTTGAAGGCATCTTTTACCGCTCCCAGAGAACCACTTCTCACTTTACTGGAGTGCTGCGTGCGAGTGACGGGTACCAGGGATGGGTGACAGCCGGTAACAAAAATACATAAATAGCAACAAATCAGGTTTGGATTTGAATCAGTGGATACATTTTAAATTCAATGAAAGCAAGAAAGTTAACAAATAAATTTGCCAATAATCTGGCTGTTTATTGATATTTCCACAGTTGTGGTCTTGAAATAAAATTCAGAGTCCTCAATGTCCGAGACCGAGACAAGACTGAGTACAAATGCTGTCGAGTCCGAGACAAGACCAAGACCATCAAAAAGTGGTCTTGAGACCGGTCTTAAGACCAAGACTGGTACTACAACACTAGATGGCACCAAATTCTGATGGTTTTACTGTAAGCAGGGACGTGTTTAAAATTAAATATTCGATGAGAGCAGCTTCAGATTGTCAAAAACTCTGATGGATGAAAGATTTATTATAGATGGGGTGAAAAGAAAAGTCATTGTTTTGATTTCAGGATTACATGGGTGGTCAGGACTGTGGTGTGTGTGTGTGTGTCCTTGTTTTTCCTACATCGTGGGGCCCAGTTTTAAGGAAAACGCAGCCTTGTGGGGTCCAGGTGCTCCTTGTGGGGCCCAAAGCCTGGGCCCCACAATTTCAGAGGCTGATTTTGGATGTGGGGGTTGGGTTTAGGACCAAGGTGTGAATTGAGTTTAGGTTAGTTTTAGGGTCAGGTAGGTACCTGTGAGGTTAGCCTTAGGGTTTGTGGTCAGGGTTAGGATATAAAACTACCAAAAAATGAATGGAAGTCAATGGACGGGCCCCACAAAGATATAAAAACAAGTGTGTGTGTATGGATGGGTTTTTCCTACAACGTGGGGTATTTTTTACAAAAAAAAGCAGCCAGGTGGGGACCGAAGTGAATCGTGTGGACCATTGTCTGGTCCCCACYGGTCCAAATGCATGTTACAGGTGTGAGGTTAGGTTTAGGACCAAGGTTTAGGTTAGTTTTAGGGTCAGGTAAGTTTCTGTGAGGTTAATTTTAGAGTATATGGTCAGGGTTTGTGAGAAACCGGCAGGAATAAACCCAGGGCGCAGGCAGGCTCAAAAATATAACAAAAGGTTTAATA